GTAAGAAAATTTTAGTAGTGCCTTAAATTTATATTCAGATATTTGATTTACAGTGGATAAAGGGTATATCATGACTGAAATAATCTATTGTATAATGTTAACTCAAAGAAGGTTGCATACTTTATTCCATGTGTGCAATTTTTAACAAATTATTCTTTGTGATTATTTGAAATGTAAATTTTAATAATTGAAATGCACATACTGAAATGGAGAAAGAAAGCACATGAGTAATGGGCAAGGTAAATTAAATATTTATTCCAATGGAATTATTCATAAAAGGCTGCTTGGGTTATAGCGTTCTGAAAAATGTTGTTAAATGCAAGATTATAGACACAAACAATTTTAATGAGGAAATCTGCTATCACAAGGGAGAAAATTTTTTAAATTATTTGAATATTTACATTTACCACTTATCTTTAAAAGAATTTTAGTGGTAAATAATCTTGTGTTTATCTTTAGACTGACCTACTTTATCTACTTTAAATAACATTGAAATAATACTAAAAAAACCAGTATTTTCTTAACAGGACAGATTTACAATTTTTCATACATTTTTAAAAAGAAGACACAGTTTTGATTACTATATTTTTGAAAGAAATTAAGAGTATGAAGTTCAGTAGAGAGCAATTAATTCTGTTATGTCACATGAAACTCTTCAAGCAAGACCTTTTTCTTTCAAAGTTAAAATATATAAGAAAATGCATATTTTTAAATATGGTCCTTTTAGTTAGCATAGTAAAGTTTTTCTGAAACAGACATTCTCCAAATTCTTCCTGTAATGTGTCAGAGAGTCAGTATTAAGGCATTACAGTTCATGTGATTCTGTTGCATATACTGAGCTATGTCACAGCATAAAAGCAGCCATAGTCAATATGTTAATGCTGGGTGTGTCCATGTCCCAATAACCATTGATGTGACCATAGTTTGTCGATTCCTTTTTTAAAAACCCAATACTTTATATTTTGATTGGATATTAGGTGACCTTTTTTTAAAAAAGGTATTTTTTAATTTATAGATGGACACTAGTTTTTATTTATTTATTTTGATGTGGTCCTACAAATCAAACACAGTGCCTCATTGAGTCACAATCCAGCCCATTAGGAGTCCTTTTAAAAGGGCTTTTAGACTATGTTAAAGCTGAAATAAAAATTCACTTTGGAAAGAATAAGTAAAGGCTATTAATAAATCTTATATTATAGTAAATTTTTGCTTTAAATGGAATGGAGTGTGTGGTTTTTCGGTTCCCTACTTCCCATTTGTGAAAGAATTGCATATCTACTGTTGAAATGAATATGAGCAATCACTTTGCCATTCAAGTAATTTTTTTTTAACTGAAAGATAAGGCTCGTTATAGCTAGACACACCTAAATTTGATTTTAGCTTACAGATATATGAGCTTGGAGAATGTACATGTTATACTGAACCTCAATTTTCCTATTTGCTAAGTAGAGTTCCTTTCTTTGAAGACTAAATAATTAACATCTAATTCATTTAAGGTTGCAGAAACAAGCAGGTACTCAAGAAATAGTAAGTCATTTCCCTCATTCTACAGCGTTTTATGCAAATAGTATATCTGCTACTTTGGACCTTAACAAAGGACCACCAACTTTATCTTTAATACTATACTTTGGAGTCAGGGAAGAGAGAAGTGGGAAGATTAAAAAAATATTTTAAAACAAATTTAAAAAGATAAATTATTTTCCTGATTTTCTGGCTTTCAATTTTCCTTCAGTAACTTTTTTCTTAAGTGAAAACAGACATTCTCATATCATGAGTTATTTGCAATGTTCTGAGTGCTTTTCCTAATATATATTATTCTCATCAATTTACCTGAGTAAGATTACTGGACAGTTCAGATTAGGAGGAAGTCACAAATTGCTGGAATAATCTAGAAATTTATGGTTTGAGCAGTGAAAACGTAAGTATTAGTTATATTTGGCTAGCATCTTATGGTTCAATTTCTTTTTAAAACTCTCTATCAAGGAAAAATTTTAATTAATTCATTAATTCAAAAACTGTGAAATAACATTGATCAGAAATTAACTTCAGTGCTAAAGTCATGGTCACACACTCTGAAACAATTCAGGGAGATATCTATATGAAAACAGGACACATTTTTTAAGAGAAGGTAACATGTAACTTTTTATTTCACAGCAAGTTACTAAGTCTAGGATCATGAATGTACAGAACACTTGGAAAAATCGAAATATTTTTGCCACACACTTACAAATGCTTCTCAAAATCATGAAGCAGAAATAAAGCAAAAGCAGTTTTCATCACAAGCTGTAAAACTTTATTATATGAAGTGACTACATACACTTAATGGATGCAAATAGCCATTATTACAGCAATTTATTGAGACTGAAAAAATTTTCATTTAGGTCAATAGTGTCCTAAAAGTCTGTCCATTATCCCTTTCTGCTTGACTACATTCCAGATATCACAGTATTTACTACTCAGAGTCAAAAGGTCCAGGGACATTTCATTGTCCAACAATAAATATTCATTTGTTTATTAAGTCAAATGTTTCAGAAATTGTTTGAAGATCAGAAATCAACTTCCTGGATTTGTATGGCACTAGAGTGGCTTATTTCTATTTATGCTTCTCATCTCTTCCTTTCTTTG